AGGGCACGGGGGCGGCTCTCAACCCGAAAGGGTCGAGGTCGCGCCCGTACCTTTCGCGAAGGACAGTACTGACGCCATGCCTGGCACACCGAGGCCATGAACGTCTGCCACGAGTCTGGGCGAGGGGAGTACCCTGCACTTTCCCAGAACGCCATTCCTGGCGCTCCGAAGTCAAGGATCTGCATGAGGGGTGCGTCCTGGGATTTGCGGATCGGGCCAGAACGCCATTCCTGGCGCTCCGAGGCCAAGGTTCTGAGGGGCGCACCTTGGGATTCGCAGATCCTCCCAGAACGCCATTCCTGGCGCTCCGAGGGCAAGGATCTGCGTGAGGGGTGCGCCAAAATGGGGGGGCGGCCGAAGGAGGGACTTCAGGGCGGCGGAAGGGATTTTAGGATTTTAATTTCTATAGGCTCTTAGTTTTTAGGGTCCAGTAGCCCAAACTTGCAGCCCACTTGACCGTGTCCCACCCACCCATGACCCAAGACATATTGATCTCGATGCGGTATCAACACGCGACTCGCAAAACGACGACGAGGACGACACCGATGACGACGACGTTGGTAGTGTTTTCAAAACGACGACGACGCGGCCGCGCAAAGACGGCGGGGCGGCCCGTGGGGAAGGGCACAGGGGGCGGCTCTCAAACCGAAAGGGTCGAGGTCGCGCCCGTGCCTTGTCGCAAAGGACAGTACTGACGCCATGCCCGGCATAGGGTTTAGGGTTTAGGGTTTAGGGTATAACATGGCAAGGCCAAGAATACCTACCTGCATTGGCACCCACCTGCGGTGGTTATCAATCCCCCCCGCGTCTCCACCCCCACATAAAAATCATCTTTCCTCTCATGGTATACCCTAACGGGCGGGTCGGGCGGGCGGGGCCCTAACGGGCGGGTCGGGCGGGCGGGACCCTAACGGGCGGGTCGGGCGGGCGGAACCCTAACGGGCGGGTCGGGTCGGGCGGGCGGACCCTAACGGGCGGGTCGGGTCGGGTCGGGCGGACCCTAGCGGGCGGGTCGGGTCGGGCGGTGGGACATTAAAATATGGTGCGTGTGCACTTGGCACGCGTGAACCCTGACGGGCGGGTCGGGTCAGGTCGGGTGGGCGGATCCTAACGGGGGGGTCGGGTCGGGTCGGGCGGACCCTAACGGGCGGGTCGGGTCGGGCGGGCGGGACATTAAAGTATGGTGCGTATACACTTGACACGCGTGAGCCCTAACAAGCGGGTCGGTTCGGGTCGGGCGGACTCTAGGGTTCGCCCGACCTCAACGTGCTTTGCTGTGCAACGCCTCTCGTATGCTATGCCAGCATAACATAGATTAGCACAAAGGCGAGTTCCACAACATCTGGATAACCGCAGCCTCTAGCGTGGCTGTCGCATAGCACCAGTGCTGAAAAACATTGAAATGTCCAAAGGAGTTGGCAATGATCGCGCGGCCGCCGCGCGCTTGTGCACTTTGTCGTATTTCTTTGCGCAATGGAATATTACAATGCACGCATCTTGCAAGAGCAGAATCTTCAGTTTATAATATGTTTTACAATATAAAACGCCGGTGCGCATACGGGGCCGCCGCGCGCGTGTGCACTTTGTCGCATTTTTTTGCAATGGAATATGACAATGGCCACATTTTGCAAGAGCAGGATGTTGAGTTTATAGTATTTTCCCCATATAAAACTCCGGTTTGCATACCCGGCCGCAACCCGGGTCGGGCACTTGGTATTGTAAAAAATATGGCTTCTTGATCGCATGATAAGGATTTAATATTTTTTGCAATGGATGAGCCCGGGTCGCGACCGGGGCCGGGCAGAATGAATTGTAAAAAATAGCGTTGTTTGATCGCATGATCAGGAAATAAAATTTTCTGCAAGGGATGGAGGCCGGGTTGCATAGCGGCCGGCTTGGAAGGATTTAGGGTTTAATAATTATAAGGATTAAAGATTTAGGGTCTAACAGGGCAAGGCCAGGAATACCTACCTGCATAGGCACTCACCTGCGGTGGCTATCAATCCCCCCCGCATCTCCACCCCCACATAAAGATCATCTCCCCTCTCATGTTATACCGCGGCTGTAGCATAGCATACCATAGCCAGCCTGGGAGCAAACGCTTAGCAAAGAGGCGGCGGCCGCGCGCGCGCGGGAGACCCTAACGGGCGGGTCGGGTCGGGTCGGGCGGGCGGACCCTAACGGGCGGGTCGGGTCAGGTCGGGCGGACCCTAACGGGCGGGTTGGGTCGGGAGGGCGGGACATTCAAGTATGGTGCGTGTACACTTGACACGCGTGAACCCTAACAAGCGGGTCGGGTCGGGCGGGCGGACCCTAACGGGCGGGTCGGGTCGGGTCGGGCGGACCCTAGCGGGCGGGTCGGGTCGGGCGGGCGGGACATTAACGTATGGTGCGTGTGCACTTGACACGCGTGAGCCCTGACGGGCGGGTCGGGTCGGGTCGGGCGGGCGGACCCCAACGGGCGGGTCGGGTCGGGTCGGGCGGACCCTAACGGGCGGGTCGGGTCGGGCGGGCGGGACATTAAAGTATGGTGCGTATACACTTGACACGCGTGAACCCTAACAAGCGGGTCGGGTCGGGCCGGGCGCACTCTAGGGTTCGCCCGACCTCAACGTGCTTTGCTATGCAACGCCTCTCGTATGCGATACCAGCATAACATTATAGATTAGCACAAAGGCGAGTTCCACAACATCTGGGCAACCGCAGCCTCTAGCGTGGCTGTCGCATAGCACCAAAGCGTGCCGAAACAACACAATGCATCAAGATGGAGACAAATGTAATACTGTGAATCGTATACACTCCCAAGCTCCCCTCAAAAAATAAAGCCTATACTTATATTGTTTTTAACAATGGATAGTGCACATCAGAAACGAAGAATGATCAGGATATCGTATTTTTTGCAATGGGTTATTGACATGGACACATCTTGCAATAGCAGAATGTTAAGTTTATAATATTTGTTCCAATGGAAAGTGCACATCGGAAAGGAGGAATGATCAGGATATACTATTTTTGCAAAGGATGGAGCATGTTGAAAGGCAGAATGTTAAGGTTATGGTATTTTTTACAATATAAAAATCCGGTTTACATACCGGTTCGCGAACCGGGGCCGGGCACTTTGTATTGTAAAAAATATGGCTCTCTGATCGCACGATCAGGATATAGTATTTCTTGCAAGGGATGAGCCCGGGTTGCGACCGGGACCGGGCACAATGTATTGTAAAAAGTAGTTTTCTGATCGCACGATCAGGAAATAGTATTTTTTTGCATCGGAGAAAGGCCGTCTTACATAGCGGCCGGTTTAGCAGGCTTTAGGGCTTATTACTTATAAGGATTAAAGATTTAGGGTTTAGGGTTTAGGGTCTAACAGGGCAAGGCCAGGAATACTTACCTGCACAGGCACTCACCTGCGGTGGCTATCAATCCCCCCCGCATCTCCACCCCCACATAAAGATCATCTTTCCTCTCATGTTATACCCTAACGGGCGGGTCGGGCGGGCGGGGCCCTAACGGGCGGGTCGGGCGGGCGGGACCCTAACGGGCGGGTCGGGCGGGCGGGACCCTAAACCCTAAGTTCTCACTATGCACCTATCTCACTATGCAACACTCACGCGCCTAAAGCATAGCATAGCCTGCACAGGCGAGCCTGCCATGGTGTAGCATAGCATAGCATAGCATAGCACAGCATGGCAAAGCATAGGTTCCCCAAAAATGGGGAACCCGTGGTGTAGCATAGCATAGCATAGCACAGCATGGCAAAGCATAGGTTCCCCAAGAAAGTGTTGTTTCATGAGCAAGTGGACCTCGGAAGTGGGTGGTTTACACAGCGGTTCGTAAAGATCTACATAGCAGGCTCGATCCAGGGGCGCGCCTGGGAGCACGCATGATCAGGAAATGATATCTGTTGCATAGGATTCTGGGTGATTTACATAGCGGGCCGTAAAGATCCCCATAGCAGGTTCGATCCAGGGGCGCGCCTGGGAGCACGCATGATGAGGAAATAGTGTGTTTTGCATAGGATTGTGGGTGGTTTACATAGCGGGTCGTAAAAATCCCCATAGCAGGCTCGATCCAGGGGTGCGCCTGGGAGCACGCATGATCAGTTTATAATATTTGTTGTATCGGATTGTGGGTGGTTTACATCGCGGGTCGTAAAGATCCCCATAGCAGGCTCGATCCAGGAAGTTCGATGGAAATCGGAACGCATGGGAAGGTAGAGTTTGAGGTTCAATAATCATAGGGATTAGAGATTTAGGGCCTGCATGGGCGCACGCGCGCGTTGGTTGCGATCCCCCCCGCATCAAGGTTGTTGGGGGGGATCGCTGCCCAAGCCGCGCGCGCTATGAACTTGCACTCCCGCCCCAGACCTCCCACAGTAAAGCCCTTTAGGGTTTAGGGTTTCTCCCCCCAACCCCCCTATCAAGGGGGGTTTTCGTGTTGTGTGCGAATGCGAATATTCCGCGGGGAGCACGACGACGCGGTTTTGGCATTGCGTTCTTGGTACGCGCGCGAAGCTCTTTGCGCAGACGCGAGAACCAGCGTCGTCGCATGGCCAACACTTTTTGCCGTGGGTTTAGCTGCATTCGGCTGGCTCCCAGTTGGCGCATGGTTTTGCCGAAGGACGGATTCTTCTCCTGCGGGTGTTCATTGCAATCAGGAGGCACAGGAGAGGCGTCAAGGCCAGGCGTCGCCGCATGAGGTTTTGAGTTACGGCGTTGGCCTGTCGCAGACGCAGCATTGCCCCTGGTTCCAGTAGGCCTCCTGCATTGGCTTTTGCCGTTGGCCTGGCTGGCATGGCCGATGCAAGGGCGATGCGGGCGGTGTCGCAACGGTTGACGGCGGCCGAGTCGCATGGTGGCGAACTGTTTTTGCGGCGGCTGGAAATTTGCGAGAGGCCGAAGGTCTTCCGTAAACATTGTTGCTCAAGACCGGTTCGTGGCTCCCTGGCGACACACTGAGGCAGTTCCTTGAATCTGCACTGCGATGCACGCTTCTCTGCAATGGCCCCGTGGGGCAACACGTGGGGCGGAGCTGGCGATTGGGGCAAGGGCGGATGGGCGGAGGGAGCACGGGGCCAAGGCAAAGGATCCGGATGCACTTGGGGCAAGAGCAAAGGCAAGGGCAAGGGCTGCAAGTCCAAGTTTCAGGACGACGGCGACATGTTGGAGCAGAACACGGCGGACCAAACAGGTCGCATATGGCGTCGCTACCAGTTGCCTCGCGCTCTGCCCCGCGCGTCGGTTGACCCAGAATCTGGGCCGTGCTTCGTGGCAGAGAACAAAAAGCAGCGAAAGAGCGACATGAAGATGCTCGACGATGAGAACTTGCTGAAGTTATTGACCCCGAGCAATGCCCATTTGCTTCGCCGCGTCGGCACTGGGCTTTCCGAGACCGCGGGCAACATCGAGGCCCTGATCAAGGTCGCTCAGTGCACTGAGAATAGAGCGTTGGTGGCGATGATCAAGGCCATTGACGATGCGGGGGATGAGTTGCAGGAAGGCCTTGGCCACGATCAACAGTTTCGGCAAGGCGAAGTTCACAGCAGAGGACTACTCGAAGGCCTTCGATACCGTGGCGACGTTCATCAAGGAGAACGAGGAGGCATTGGAGAAGGGCTCCATCGCCGGCATGGTCATGCACGGACGAGGCTATCTGGGGGCCTGTGCTCTCCGCCAGTTGATCGTGTGCGTGAAGCACCCGGAGTGGTGATCGAACCATATCCCCGAGTCGTTGTCGGCTTCGAAGACCGTGGCGCAGTGGAAAAAGAAACCCAAAGACATGAAACGCATGAATGCGGCGATGGGGGCTTCCATGGAGGAGAAGGCCGAAGCAGATGACGAGTATCGGAATAAGGGGAAGGGCGACTACGAGGCCTTGATGCAGGGCGGCGGCAAAAAGAAACGCAAGGGGGAGTCGTCGGAGGAGTCCTCGGACACGTCCTCGAAGAAGCGCAAGAAGAAGAGCAATAAGGCCAAGAAGAACAATAAGAAAAAAAAGAGCTCGTCCTCAGAGAGCTCGTCCTCGGCGAAAGACGAGAAAAATAAGAATACGAAGAAGCAGGACAACTCCTCGGACGATAGCGCCAAAGAGAAGAAGGAAAAGAAGTCCAAGAAGGCCGACGTGGACAAGAATGGCGAGCAGCCGGCGAAGCGCAACGCGGAGGAGAAGGCGCAGCGCGAGGCAGACAAGAAGGCGAAGCGCGAGATGGAGGAGAAGGCCCAGCGCGAGGCGCAGGAGAAGGCGAAGAGCGAGGCAGAGAAGAAGAAGACGCCGATGGAGAAGTGGGGCGTCGACTCGGTCAGACAGTTCAAGGACAAGATCGAGGCGCATGACAAGCAGCGAGGGACAGAGGACTTCATCGCGATGATCGAAGCGCCTCCAATGGACCTGTTGCTGAAATTATGGTCGGCCTTGGGCGAACTCCCGATCGGCCAGGACACGCGCGCCTCGATGGCCGAGGCAAAGCTGGAGGACAAGGGGTGGGGGAAGCACGTACGCGGCCAGCTTGGCAAGCTCTGCGAGGTGGCGTGGCAGGAGCTCAAGGTGGAATGCCAGCCCTGAGGAAGCGGTCTCCCGCTGGGCGTAGCCTCCCCGTGTAGGAATTCCGGGGAGCCACGAGCGCTGGAACGTCGCCGTGCCGCCGAGGGAGAGTTGCGATGGTATACTTCGGAGGCGGTTCTTCATATTTGGAGCCTGCGCTGAGAGCGGTTCAGCGACGGGTGATTTTCCGAATCTGTACACGAGCGCGCTGTTCCCGTTCTGCGCTCGGCCCTTGAAGAAATACAATCGGCCGGTCGCCCCGTGTTCGTTTCGAAGAGAGCGCAGGGGCCTCAGAAGAGCTCACAGAGGCACCCGACGGGTGCTACAATAGGGAGGTGTCGTTTCACCCGTAGGGGCCGTGGGGATGGCTCCAGAATGGCGCAAGAGGGCTCCCAGGCGCTCCATAGCTCCCAAGGCAGCCCCAAGAGAGTTCCGAAAACGGCTCAAACACAAACCAACAGGGGCCGCAGAAGAGGTCATAAACAGCACCCGGCGGGTGCTACAATAAGGGGGTCCGTTGTAGCACGTGGGGGCTCCGCTGGGAGGACTCCAGAAGGGGCGAAGAGGGCCGCAGGGCGCCCCATAGCTCCAAAGAGAACCCCAAGAGAGCTCCCAAGACGGCTCAAACACAAGCCAGCAGGGGCCCCCGAAAACGGTTCGAACACAGTGTCTTGGATTGTTCTTTGATTTTTGGAGGGCCCTCGGGGGCCTGTTAAGGCCCTCGAAGAGCTCCCGCAGGCTCCCAAGAAGGTCCGGCAGGGCCCCCAGAAGACCCCAACATGGCTCCAAGAGGGGTCCAAGGAGGCCCCAAGAGGGCCCCAAAAATACCAGAAAATCCCAGACACTGTCTTCATCAAGTCTGAGATTTTTCTGGGATTGTTGGGGGGCCCTCGTGGGCCTGTTAAGGCCCTCGAAGGGTTTCCGCAGGCTCCAAAAAGGCTGGCAGGGCCTCCAAAAGACCCCAAGATGGCTCCAAGAGGGGTCCAAGGAGGCCCCAAGAGGGCCCCAAAAATCCCAGAAAAAATCCTAGACACTGTCTTCATCAAGTCTGATTTTTTTTCTGGGATTCTTGGGGGGCCCTTGGGGGCCTGTTAAGGCCCTCGAAGGGCTTCCGCAGGCTCCAAGAAGGCTGGCAGGGCCTCCAAAAGACCCCAAGATGGCTCCAAGAGGGGTCCAAAGAGGGCCCCAAAAATCCCAGAAAAATCCCAGACACTGTTTTCATCAAGTCTGAGATTTTTCTGGGATGTTTGGGAGGCCCTTGGGGGCCTGTTAAGGCCCTCGAAGGGCTCCCGCAGGCCCCCAAGAAGGTCCGGCAGGGCCCCCAGAAGACTCCAAGATGGCTCCAAGAGGGGTCCAAGGAGGCCCCAAGAGGGCTCCAAAAATCCACGAAACATCCCAGACACTGTCTTCATCAAATCTGAGATTTTTCTGGTATTTTTGGGAGGCCCTTGGGGGCCTGTTAAGGCCCTCGAAGGGCTCCCGCAGGGCCCCAAGAAGGTCCGGCAGGGCTCTCAGAAGACCCCAAGATGGCTCCAAGAGGGGTCCAAGGAGGCCCCAAGAGGGCTCCAAAAATCCACGAAAAATCCCAGACATTGTCTTCATCAAGTTTGAGATTTTTCTGGGATTTTTGGGGGGCCCTCGGGGGCCTGTGAAGGCCCTCGAAGGGCTCCCGCAGGGCCCCAACCCGCGCGCGTGGGCGTGCAGGCGCAGACGCCGAAATCGATGGCGGCGCCCTTAGAGTTCCATGTGGGTCCGTAACCATTTTGGCACAAAGGTTTTGAGGATATCAACGACTCGGCTAGATTGTCTGGCAGGCACACCAGCCGCCATCAGTTTACGCGCCTTTGTCTCTGCTTACCTGTGCCATCGGCCATGCCTCCGATGGGCCAAACGTTCTTCTTGGCAGACGTGATCGCCATGTGCTGGCGCGGCATCGCAGAGGACCTCATCCGAGCGGACCTGAAGGCGCAGGGATGTCCGAAGGCGCGTGTTTCCCAACTCATACGGGACGCGCGCCTGAAGGGAGCTTTGCCGGCTGCATCCCCGGCGAAGGCGCTGGGAAGGCGCCGGGGGACGCCCGCGGCTGGAGACCTCGAGGACAAGCCGGAGAGCGACAAGGAGGCCGCAGGAGATCCAGTTGCCGGGGAGCAACCAGAAGCGCCCGCGCGCAGAGAGGTGCTGTGGTTCGGAGACGTGGCCATGGAGGTAGACGAGGAGGTGATCGCGGCCGGCGGCATGGCGACGCCAGTGCTCGCAGACCGAGGCGGAGAGACGCCCAAGTCGGAGTACGATGGGTGCGAGGCTGGCGATTCAGAGGACGGGATTCCAGACGCAGTGGCGTTGCAGAACATGGCGAAAGTGGCGCTCGAGCACTCTGTCCTCGAGAGCGGCGTGGAGCAGTACTTCGACGTGGAGCCAGGCGTGGACGACGGGGGCGAGTCGTCGGAGACGGAGGTGATGGCGAGCGACGTCGATGAGCACGGCAACGTGGAGGGCTTGATTGACGACGGCGGTCCGATGGCGGCTGACTCGGACGCAGAGGAGGCGATGCCCCCGCTTGCCCCGCATCCGGAGCCGCGGCCACGGCGCCGCATCACAAGTAAGCGGGCGCCCAGCAGTATTGAGGTTGGGGAGCGAAGTTCGGTTCGCCGTGCGGCTCCGGTGGCGGCTCCGATGAAGCGCCCGGCAGCTTGTTTTCAGGCGCGCCCTGATCGACGTTGTCTTGGGCAGGTGGGCGAGCAGAGAGCGCGCGTCTTCTCCATGCAGGACCCGAGCCAGGCGGCATATCACCGCACGGGAGGCTGCTGCATGTTCTGTTCAGAGGAGACTATGCGCCGGGCGCTCAGCACGCCGCGAGGCCGTGGGAATGTGTCTCAAGCTCTGCGGGCGTTTGCAGAGGAGAACCGCCAGGATATTTTCGATGCCGCCATGGGGAGGTTGCCGACTGACGCAGAGCGGGAGAAGTTCCAAAAGGCATTGGGGAGGAACTCCCAGAGAAAGAGAGGTGACGCCGACAAGCAGGACGAGAACCCACAGGTTCCTCACTTGCTATATTAAGCGGTGAGATCTTGTTGAACGCTTCAAGTGCTACTATAGCACTTCAATGGCTATTATAGCACTTCAAGTGTTATACGGGGACTCAAGTGTTATTATAACACCTGAAATCTTATTATAACATCTGAAGTTTTATTATAACACTTCAAATCTTATTATAACACTTGAAATCTTGTTATAGCACTTGAGGTCTTATTATAAGACTTGAAGTAGCATTATTAGCACTTCTCGTTGTCATCTGTTGGATAATAATGTTAACGCTGTTGCATTGCATGCGCTTTGCGTTGTATGTTGCGTTTTGCGTTGCGTTCGCATTGCGTTGCATGGACGTTGCTTTGCATTGCATCGCCCTTGCGCGTAGCATTGCGCTGCGCCTTGTGTTGTAAGCTTGCATTGCATCTGCGTGAGCAATGTTCTCACCAGGAGGCGCGTTCTGACCGGGGAGCGCGTTCTGCCCAGGGGGCGCGTTCTGACCAGGGGCGCGCGTTCTGACCAGGGGGCGCGTTCTGACCATTGCGGGCGGGCGCGTTGCCCGCAGCCAATGACGATCGAATACTCCCCCCTGGACCGCAGGGGTCTTTCCCTGTGGGCGGGGAGGGGGTGGGCCATGGCCCCGCCACGGGCGCCGCGGGCGCCCATGACGCCGCCTCGCCGCGGCCGCGCCGCGCCAGCGCCGCGGGCCTCGGCCAGCGGCGCGGCGGCGGCGGGGGCGGCGGCGGCGGGGGCGGCGGCGGCGGCGGCGCTACTGGCCGCCCGTGGAGGCGACCAGGGCGGGAGGAGGGTGGGGGAGGGAGCGGGGCCCCGCCATCTGCACCCCTGGGGTAAGAGAGAGGAGAAGATGAGGGATGAGGATGAGGACGAGGATGATAAGGAGGAGGAGGCGAGGAGGAGGAGGAGAAGGATAAGGAAGGAGGAGGAGGAGGAGGAGGAGGAGGAGGGGATATGCGGCGGATGGAGGAGGCGCAGGGGAAGAAGGAAGAGGCGGGGGGCGGGGGAGGCGGATGGCCGAAGGTGGATGATGATGATGAAATGCTGATGATGATGATGATGATGATGAGGAGGATGATGATGATGATGAGGAGGAGGAGGAGGAGGAGGAGGAGGGGAAGAGGAGG